TTCAGAGCATTTTAGCTGAAGCCTGGACAGGAATGAATTTTCTCTGAAGGAGTGAAGTTGTGAATTAAGTGAAAGAATATGGATCAATATGAGATGAATTTTTGGTTCAGGCATTTATTTATTTATTTTTCTTTTTTTTTTTTTTTTTTCTGATAGGAATAAATCAGAGTTGCCAGAATGACTGACTGGTACTGAAGAAGAAATAAGCTTAGAATTCAAGGGATTGTCTTTACGTCCCTTCAGTGATTTTACCCTTTTGAAAGAGCTAACCTGCAGTATATGTGGGCTTCAGCTTCTCCTTTGCCAAGTGAATTTGGCCAACAGCAATTTCCAGGGTGTGGTGAGGACATATACACAGTGGCTCTGGTTGTTCAGTTGTACAGGACGTTGGAGGAAAGGGAGGCTACAGATTCCCAGTCATGTCTGTGCTGCATTTCTGCCATCTTCTCCTTAGCACATCATTCATTAACCGTTTTGCACTCTCCTTGTGTCAATGCCCCTCTATTTTATTTCCTCTCTGTGCAACAAGCAGATATTCTCACAAAAAAAGTTTTTTTTTTTTTTTTTTTATACATGAGACTCTAGCTGCCACGCTAATAGAGCTGTTTAAGAAGCGTTACTTGCCTAGGAAAGGTAGGAGTGCTTTCCAGTGAGACTTCAAAGAGCATCACCAACTGTTTGTTTCTCACAACAGGACCCCTTCAACCTCTGAAAGTTTTTACTAAGCATTTGCTGCCTCTGTATTTCCAGATCTCCTACTTAGGGGAAAGTAAGGGAGGGGAATGGTTGCTTTTTAAAACCTTTTAAAGTAAACTTTGCAATTTTCCTGCAAAAGCATCAGTTAGCTACCTCAGCAACAGGAAGACTGTGTGCTTTGTCCTCTCTCCCCCTCCCCAAGGAAGAGAAGGAAAAAGGAAGTTTTAAACCCTGTTTTTTTTTTTTTTTTCTGTAATTTACTGAGCTTGCCAGGATGGCCAGAGGTGCCTCTAAATGCCTGAGACATTTGATTTTCAAAAAACACTATCCAAAACTGGAAAACCAAGGGAAGAATTTCTGACATTAATAGTGAATAGATACAAATAAGACTGTTCTCGTTCTCTCTGTCTCTGTCTCTCTCTCCATATACACACGTACAATAGTGTTAGGGAGGGTTGTAAACCACAAGGCTTTTACACATAGACCTCTCCATAGCTTTGAGGGCTTGGTGGAAACCTCTGGAGGAAGAGCACAGAAAAGCTCATCACTTAGTTATTGCATCTTCCTCTGAGGTAGCTGCTTCTTGCTACTGTTAGAATTGAGATGCTAGATTAGAGCCTAGCACTATGCTGGGATGGTAATTCCTTTACACTTAGGATTCAGAAGTGAAAATGAAATAATCAAAGGTAATATACTGAGAAAATAAGGGATAAAGCTTTGCTGATTTAGTATAATATCACTTAATCTCAGAAAGTAACTCTTTCTTATTGGGAAATATGAACAAACCTGAATTTCCTAGTATATCAGCAATGACTTTTAGTTAGAGCAAACAAACAGGGATCAGGTCCTGGCAAAAAGAAAAGCCTGTTGGCTTGACAGTTTCAAATGGGCCTATATATGAATTTTAGAGATTTGCTTTCTGCATGAGGCTATGACTAGGGAGAGCATTTTAGAATATAAGACGCATCAGAAAAATACTGTTGTTTTGGAGGCATGCAGAACTGCTCCATTTACAAACCTGGTATGATATAGGATGACAATATAATAGGAGCTCTCCTTTGTGTGATTTCATTGTGAGCTCTCAGCCAACATGTTTCATTTCCCAAAGCTCTCGCAAGTGCTGCAAGACCTGCCACAGGAGAACAGGCCAGTTCAGCCTTGCTGCCATCATCCCAGCCTCAGAGGGCACTTAGCAGGCGAYGGAATTTGCCATCCATCTCTCCTCGCCGCCCGAGAGCAGCTTCGCTCAGTTAATTATTTTCGATACTGCTGCCCCAGAGAATGCTTTAACTATGAGGTTTGTTTCCAGTTGCGACAGGAAAGCAAACAATAAAATAAATTAAAGTCAAAAACAGTGAATCTGAAGGAGCTGAGTTTTGAAAATGTTCTTCTGGTTTTGCACCCACGGTTGATAGGGCAATATTTCACAAGGTTGTCTYGGTTTTATAGTTGTGTGTGCCTGGTGGCTGCAGAAAGTCACATTTTCAGTCATGATTCCTTACAATGGCTATGGCACCTCAGGCCCCCTTGGCCCTTTTGGCTCATAGAGAGTATCTTCTACCRGAAATCTGGTAGAATTTGGGCTTCTCTCTGGGCTTCTAGAAAATCTGGCAGAACTGGATGCCTTGTTTTACTCCTTGTGGAGAGCTGGGCAGTCTTCTAGGCCTGACACAGGGGAGCTGAAATAGGAAGCAGTGATCTTGTTTATTTGTTACTTGCACCTGGCCCCAAACCAGGACAGCTACTCMCCTGTATAATGCAGGTGCTTGAACTATCAGACGCTGAAATTAGACCCCAAGTTTGCTTAGGTCTCCAACTGAGAGACACCCTCTTGCTCACAGAAATAGAGTTTAACTCTCCGACTATGTACTAGATCATCCAGGCCTGCAACGTGGGGCTTCTAAAATTGTTTCAGGGTATCAGCAATTGCATGGAAGTAAAGAGGTTCAAGAGGTCCCATGAGAAGGCAGGAGCTACATGCAGAAGGCAAATGTAAGGCCACATGGCTAATCTGCTTGAGCTAATTGATCTCTAAAGACGCATTTCAGCTTGTGGAAGGATTTATGTGAGAGGAAGTGTCACAAAATGTAGCTTAAGATACGGCCTAGAAACAGGGAGAGATGGAAGAGTGGGATGGGAAAGAGGAGGTGGCACATGACACTGATGTTGGTTCAAACTCTCTCTCCGGGAGAGAGGATGTGTGTATGTAATGCAGCAATCCATGTGCATTGCTTATGTGTGTCCATGAATAATGCACTAAAAAGAGGAATCTGTAATAGCCTTCAGAGTTGAGTTTTATTTCCTACATACATGTCCATGTGTTCAATTTTGGTGATTTTGGAGCAGTAAGAATTGCGAAGCAAAACGGCTAATACTTCATGCAAACAACCTCTCAGAGAAGATAGACTTTTAGGATTTGGAAAAATTCTTTCAGTCTTAGGGAAAACATTTTCGCCAAAGAGTTGTAATTATTTTTATCTGAATGAAAATATTACTTGAAATATTTTATGCTAACTCTAGCTTACATATCAGTGCAGCCCTTACATTGTCTGAGGGTGCAGGTGTCAGAAGATGCTTATGTGCTAGTAACTCTATCCTCAAGCTGAAATTTTGCTGTCAAAAGTCCAGAGTACTTTCACCCAAATGTGTGAGAATTCCCTGTGGATGTGATCCTAATTCCCAACTGCCATAGAGCAGTAGAGAGAAATAGCTCTTTTTCAGATGTACTCTGAATCCTTTCTCCCCTAGCCTCAATCATTACTTATTTGAGAGCATGATATTTCACTGTCATCTCAAATAGAGATGATTTAGTCTCTCAGTCTTTAGTCTAAAGGAGATGATATGAACTTCCCTGACAAGGCAATGTCTTCTCTCTTCATTTCTCCTGCATTTTAAAGGATTCTTGAAATAAGCTAATAAATGGGATTTCAGATGATGGGGAAATCAGTTAGCAAAGCCAGACTGCCTGAATCTCAGAGGCTGCAAAATGCTGACTCCTAGCAAGGTTCTGCAGACCTGGGATGACTCAGCAAGCTTCATCAAATGGAATTTGACTAATTGTTCATATTTAGAACAATCTGGACAGCACCTCACTGACACTTACAAAAAAAGATAGGGGCATGAAAATTGAGTAGACAGCATAAACTATTTGCACCCTGTCTTTCTGTCCACCTCTGGTCCTCAAACACTGCCATAAGTCATTCCAGTGCCTTTTCCTCACCTCCCAGTTTTACCATCCCTAATTCGATCCTAGTCGTTACTATTAGGCAGACAATTTCCAAAAGGACCTGAATTTTACTTTTGATTCAGTCACTGACACAGCCAAAAGTATTGCTTTTCCTGTAGTTCCCTTCTTTTTATTTATTTTTGTCTTGGCAATTTAATTTATAGGTCTAGCAGGCTGGGAATTTSTTAAGATACTTTCTGCACAGTTTTTACAAAGTCCTTTGATTGCAGAGGCCCTCGCTCCACCCACACCTCCAAGTACTACAGTAATACACCTCACAAAAATAATCATGTGGGTTACTTACTGAATGAGAATTAGCAAATTCACAGAAGTTGCATTCAACACATGAGCAAATGATGCACATAAAAAAAAAGATACTAAATTCATCTGGTAATTTATTCACGATGAGTAATTTGACATTGTCTCACACACCAGCTTGACTGTCAGGAGTGYTCAGATGGTTTTCTAATGAACTTGTTGAAAGGTGCTTTATTTAAAGAAAGGCAATTCTTCATGGGCAAGTGTCATTTCTTGATGGGAAAATAAACATGGCATTTATCTTATCTTGATAGTATCTTACTACTCCAGTTCCCTTGGGCARGAGAAGGTATCTCAGTTTGGTCTTTGGCCCCATACTCTGCATGACCAAACACCTGGCTTCACTTCTCTTCAGATTCAGGGAAATTCAGCTGAAAAAAATATTCCTTAATTGACTTGAGTTTCCCATTAGCCTATGGGAAAGGTTTTGCTTTTGTAGTCATCTACATAGGCTGAAATGAAGACTCATGGGACCTTTACACCACCATGGATACCAAAGCCCTTTGGTGGTGCTACCTTGGGTGGCACTGGAGGCTCTCAAAAGCTCCCCCTGGGGCATTAGCAGGGGTGGCTTTGGGTCTCTTGAGAAAGCCCTCACCTGACTGTCAATAACTGACCAAGCCAATTACTGGCGAAATGCAGCAGCATTGAATATAAGAAATGAGGCCTTTCTCAGGAGGATAAATGTATATTTTTAGGCTTTTTCAAGGTAGAAAACCTTATTCTGAAAATCTTCTGAAGATTAAGAACTACAAATATWCAGTAATTCCCTCCCAGTACTGGGAGGGAAAGTACCCAACAAGAACAAGACAYCTACGTTTGGACTACAAATCTTCCTTTAAAGTAGGAACTTGCCTTTAATCTTTATTTGTGTGTTCCATGGCATATGCCTGATTTTAAGAGGAACACAATGCTAACATTCAGGCCTCAGGTGAGGGTGATTTGGGGTGTCTTTTAGGGTGGCCATCAACTGGCTCTCTCTGTGTGCCTCTCCAGTTGCCCATCATGTTCTCAAAACTCACTAGCTCCTACAAAGTGTGGAAGACCTTGAGATGAGCATCCATCGCTGATTGGGACCTCTGCAACACAAAATATCTGTTAATTTTATGGAGTRTTTTCTACTTGCAAATACAAGGTAAGGAAACACTTGGAGGTGAAGTTTGATAATTTGATTCCATTGGGAATTAAGCCTCTATATATCTTTTTAGGATTTGAGAATTGGCATTTAAACTATAAATATCAATAGTGAGAATTTTAGTTTTTGTGTTAAGGGAAATGAAGCTGTGACTTTGCCAGTTCATGACATAATCTCCTTTTAAACATCCCCACAGCTTGTATGAGATCACGGATGCAAATCATTTTGCATACTTTGACCATTCCATTATTTTAGAAAGCGATGCCTGTACTGAACTGCTGGTGTTTTCAGTGAATTTATTATTTTTTAAACTATTGCTAAACCTGAATCTACATGATTCTGGATGCTCCTTTCCAGTTTCTGTTATGTTGACAACAAAACAGAGTTGTTACTCTGCCTCAGTATGGAGTCCTTCAGTGCTGCTGTGCCCCTGTCGGTCTGTGTGCTCTCATGTTCTTCCTCTTATAATGAAGCTCAAAAGCTGCCAAAGCAGTGGGAGAAGGAGGATGGGTCTGTTTGACACCAGCATGTTGAACCATTTGTTCAAAACTGCATGTCCTTTAATTGTGCATGCTGCATCTTAATAGCAAGCCTTGTTGAAGTTAATTATTTCTGTTGGCATAGCCCAGCATGCAAGATGTTCTCGGGTGAATCATGATGGTACCTCTCCTAGATTTTAGATAATTTATTAAAAGCTACATTCATTTGAAGGTGAAGTGTTGGCAACAACCTTTAATTTAGATCTTGAGGGTTTTGTCAGTTCTATATAGTGTGTAGCAGCAAGAATTATCCTTGGCTAGGGGGAGAAAGGAAGGAAATAACTTGTCATTGTCATATAAAATGCATTGGTGGGAACAGGGAGGATTGGCTGTTCTGGGCTGACATGACCATCTATGCTGCAACTTGTGTCCTTATTAGCTGCCTCATTAATTAAATATTCTAACAACTTAGAATTACCTAATTTAGCCCTGAATTCATGAAGAGCTCTAGAAAACTTTAGCAAAACTAGATTCCTAAGTAGCACAATAACAAGTGAAAAATAAAGTTAGGTGAATGCAAGGCAATTTGTATTGGAAAGGACAGTTTATTAAATAATACTTTCCTGCAAGTTTGTAATTGAAGGGCAACTAAAATTAATTCAACACAAAAAATCAGTGTACCATTAAATGAAGCTTTAGGGAAAGGGGGAAAAAAAAAAAAAAAAAAACCACCCCAGAACACTCAAGGTCCCCTTTATCTTGCCTTTCTCGGGTTCTGTAAGTTGTGCTCCAAGGCTACCAAAGGTACCTTGGGTGAAAGCAGGATCCAGCATGGAGTTAGAGCCAACTGTTGCCAACAGGGATCTGGAATTATCCCAGTAAGGGAAATGCAAGAGCCACAAAGAGGCAAAACTCTCTCAAAACACAAGTGAGTCTCCATAGAAGCAGCCTTTTCCTGGTAAGGACCTCATTCTCACAGCTTGTTTAAAGGAGATGCTGGACCCTTGCTGACTGCAGTGGATCTGTTTAGATAGATCTCTCTAGATCTGTTCAAGAAGCAAGAAATCTGTTAGGCAGGTGMTCACTGAGCAGCGTAGGGCTCCACAATTAGCCATATGGCATTAATACCATAATAYGGCACAAACCTCTCAGCTTTTTAGCTTTCGGGTGAGTAATTATCTTTCTTGTGCTGGTAGGTGATGATAACTGCAGATATGCTTCAGTATTATTTTTCTTTTATTTTTTTTTTCTCCTCTGGAATGAAGAGAGACTTTTTAAAGGATTTTATTCACTTAAATTGTAGAAATTAGCTTTCTCTTAGACACAGAGAAGGGCGATCCTACTGATGACTTGTCTGTAAGGACTGCAAAAACTCTTTGTCCAGGTTTAACTGTATTTTAAGAGCATCACAGTAACAATTGATGCTTGCATCTTTTCTTGCCTCTTTGTACTAGTTCTCAGGCTTTTATTAAAAAAAACTCAAAAACTTGGCTTTCAATTCAGAACTCAAAAAGTGGTTGCAAATTATCACCACAGGAATATAAGCTTGAGAAGCTGGTGTCTGTGTAGTATTTATTTGTAGCCCTCTGCATATTAGAAGAAAAACAGACAAACAAAACAACCACAAGAAATGACCAGCAGGATCCAGTYCCACAGTGTGCATTCAGTAAAAGCTCGTGTTGAGTTCGGCAGGTGTCCTCTCCTTAAGAGTGAGGAGTAAAGACCTGGCTCCCTGAGATCAGCAAAAGGGAAACGTGCTTGCGCTTACTTTCCTTTCTTTTTTTTCCTTGTTGCAAAAGACAACAAATGCCTCGAATTTTTCTTGATTCCAGGCACTGAAGCCAAAGCAAAATATCGAGAAATTCTAGCAGTTAGAAAGTTTATAAAAGTCATTAAAAAAGCTGATTTTTTTCTCACGCTTTTTAACTCGCTCTCCTTGATTGCTAGCAACTTTTATAGTTGAACTCCATCCCCTAGTGCCCAAAAAAGCCCTCATCCAACTGTGCTATTTATTGCTAGTAAAATGTCAGTGAAATTCAATGTAGGCATCAGTTCTCCTCTGCCTCCCCAGTCATGTAATATCACCCTGTCTTCCTGTCCGATCTCACTGTCAGAACTGTATCTCTAGGTAAAGGAATTACATTAAATGTTGGGAAACACTACTGCTTCTCCCATTAATTCTTTTCTCCATGAATGATTTCTTCCCTGTAGAATTGATATCAGCTCTTAACCACTACATGGCAGGAGGAAAATGCAGATAAGCAGTGAGTTTAGTAGGCCTCCAAAAATAAATGGCCCCATATTCTAACATATGTACAATCTGCCCGTAAATGTAAATCAAGCTTTTAGAATGCTGGGAACATTRGGGGATTGTGGTTCCACTAAAGTATATATAAGTACAGCCAATTTGATTTTTAGTATCATAAGGGCAGAGCACTGTGCAGGTTAAGTACCTAAGTGTTAATGCAGATTTTGGGACCCATTTTGCAGCCTGGGAACTAGTTGCTCTGGGTACTTTGCTTTTCACTCTGGTGGATCTAAGAGAACTGCAAGTTACTGTCCACGTAAGAGAATAGGCATATTTTTATCCTCTATATGCCATGCTATATATTAAATGACTTAGCTATTCCATTTAAACTTAATGAGATGGGTACAGTGCATCTATCTGATGCCAATTGATTGCAGAAAGAACATTCAGTTTAATTAGCATGTAACTGATAAGTTCAATTACTCTATAATGATTTGGAAATTACACGAGCTACATATTTTGTGATTGTGACCTTACATAAAGCACAAAACTTGTGAGGAAATTTTAGCTATTTAATGAATGCTTTAAAAAACCTCTTCTAGGTTTAATCAGATATCAATTAGTTGGAAAAGGGAAATCTTAAATTAACATGTATTAACGGCGYTAATTGGCAGCAGCCTTCCCATTGAGTGAGCTGCAGTGTGGAAGCCCTTTTGCACTGTGGTGTGTAGTGTGGCACAGAATGTGCAGCCCATACAATGCCTCCCATTCTGCTAAAATTTTGTAAGAAATTCAATTATTCTCTTATACTGGGGGTGATTCTGATACATAATTAATTTTTGGCTTGTTTTAAAAGATGCGTGCATAATTAGCCATGTGTGGAATGCATTATCTCTGGTTATCTCTAGCATATTTTTAAAACCTTAGCAGTTACCCTTTGCTCTTTAATTAACAGATAACGTCTTGCAATATTAAATTTGAGATGTTGCCATTTTGGCAGCATTTGAAGCGATGTTATTCATTATGGTTGCCATGGAGCATGTCTCTTAATTTATGATCACGTGTCTTTATGATGGAAGGATCTTGGGGACAGCACCCCCAGCATTGCTTCAGAAATGCTGCTTTATGTTTAAATACATGCTCTGGAAAACCTGAGTAATGTGAGTAGTGGGAGTGCTTTTGCTGCATGATTCTAGTGTTGCATGGTCATTTCCCAATAAACTCTAGAACTTTTTAATCATTCTGGTAGAGGTAGATTCTGGTTTAATCCTCTGGGAGGAGGAGAACTTTGGGGAAGATACTGGAGGACCATCAGCTTAATATTCAAATAGAGTAGTTAGTAGAGATTTTTTTTCTGAGAGATTCAAGGTGACCAAGAATAGGTGCCTTCTCAACTGTCGTTTGCAGTAGTGTGTCTCTTTACTCATTGAACTCTGGACTAGTCGTTGAAGTCAAGTCTTAAATTACCTAAAGTTAAAGATGTTAATATTCACCAGGATACTTGGGAATGGTCCAAATATAAGTATAACTTGGAATGAAGACATGCCCTTATTTAAATAAGTCAAAAGGAAATACAGAAACAAGTAGAAAAAAATAAATGTTAGATTTCATTATTGACATAAAATGAAAAAAGCGTGTTAGATATAGGATTTGAATTCCTCCTACTAGACAGACTTTTATCAATATTTTAAGATGATATAAGACTCCTAATGGTTCTGATTTATCAAGATACTACTAAAAACAACAACAACAACAACAAAAGATTCTGTATCTATCCATGCAGGAGTAGGGGAAGGTTACAGACCTTCCTGTTCTTTCTTTCCTTACAGCCAGATAGCTTTTAGTCTCTGGATATATTTGGGTACCAGATGGCAAATTGATAACAAAGTTGCCCAGCAGAGCAACTGACTTTAAGTTCCTAAATCCATCTGGGAGCCCGGTCTTCCTGCTTAGTGAAGATGGCAATGATCTCACTCAAAGTGGGACATTTGGCACCTAGGAAAATAAAACTGGTTTGTAAGTCTGGGTGCTAATTCAGTTTTAAGGTCTTCATCCTAGAAATGACTCATCTAAAACAAAGGAAGTGGCAAAAGGATGTAACCTCTACGGAAATATTTTTCTTAGTTGTTTTTGTGACAAAGATTTTGATCTGGATTCCAGGAATACCAAGTCTCTCTTTGCCATCTATCCCCCTCGAGCCTTCTAGAGAAGAAGCTTGCTTCACCCAGCTGCCAAGATCCCAATGTGAGCTACAGCCTCTAGGCCTGGCAGAA